ACCCCTATAGGGATCAAACTCACAACCTAGGCATGGACACTATGTGACCTTTCTGTGCATAGGACAATACGCAACCAACTGAGCCACACTGGCCAGGGCTGTTTTCATTGATTTTGGTGGGGGGGGGGGCGGGGGGGAATATGTATTGGTTGCCTCCCATACACACTTTGACCAGGGATTGAACCTGCAACCTGGGTATGTGCCCTGACTGGTAGCGATGCTCTAAACACCAAACCACACTGGCCAGGGCCCATCTGTAAGAAATATTAAGTGTACAGTTCAGTCATGTTGAGTATGTTCACATTGTGCAACAGATCTCTAGGATTTTTTTATTTTGAGCATTTAATTTTTTTTTTTTAATATATTTTATTGATTTTTTACAGAGAGGAAGGAGAGGGATAGAGAGTTAGAAACATCGATGAGAGAGAAACATCGATCAGCTGCCTCCTGCACACTCCCCACTGGGGATGTGCCCGCAACCAAGGTACATGCCCTTGACCAGAATTGAACCCAGGACCCTTGAGTCTGCAGGCCGATGCTCTATCCACTGAGCCAAACCGGTCAGGGCAGCATTTAATTTTTAAAATGTAATTGCAGGCTTCATTTACAGCTGTTAGTGTTTAGCTTGCTAGTTTTAGCCCAGAGCACTCATATCTTTTAAAAATACGGATTTGATTGCATAGAATTTACTATTAAACTAATTATTCCTACAAAGTGGTGTACATTTGTAATTTGCATGAACTTCCCTTTTATATCTTCATTTAAATTTTAATGTAAAAGATTGATCCAGCACCAAAGGAATCAATATTTGTTAATCTAATTATAAAAGTACGTGGCACCAAGAAAGGCTAATTTTTGTGGTGTTGTTGTTAATCCTCACCCGAGGATAATTTCCATTGATTTTTAGGGAGAGGAGAAGAGAGAGGGAAAGACAGAGAGATACATTGATGTGAGAGAAACACATTGATTGGTTGCCTCCCATGCGTACCGCCTCGCTCAGTCACCACTATCCTGTGTGGTAGCCATTAGCCTCGTGTGGCTATCAAACACTTGAGATGTGGGTAGTGCAAATGAGGAACTGAGTTTTTATTTATGTTTAATTTTTTTTTTTTTACTTTTTAAATATTGATATTTAGAGAGAGAGGAAAGGAGGAGGGGAGAGGGAGGGAGAGAGGGAGGGAGACAGAGGAGCATCAATGTGAGAGTGAAACATTGATCAGCTGCCTCCTGTACAACCCCTACCAGGGATCAAGCCTGCCACCTGGGCATGTGTCCTGACCAGTACTCGAACCCCACAACCTTTCAGTTCATGGTATAGCGCCCAACCAACTGAGCCACACCGGCCAGTGCATGTTCACTTTTTTTTTTTTTTTTTTTAATTTTTTTATTGTCTAAAGCAGTGGTTCTCAACCTTGGCTGCACATTAGAATCACCTGTGCAGCCAAGGTTGTGAACCACTGGTCTAAAGTTTTACATATGTCTCCTTTTTACCGAATTGACTCCCCCCCCCGCCCCCCCAAGTGCATGTTTACTTTTGACCAGCAGAAATGTAAATTTTACGTAGCTGCACATAGCTAATGGCTACAGCATTGGCATCTTAGCATCATACAGTTTTTAGCATCTAATGATTTTTGCCTGACTTTGATATTAATATGATGGTTGCCAAGTGGTCATTTTGTAACTCCATCATTCTTTATACATTTCGGTTGACTTTCTACTTGAAGGAAGGGGTTTCTTTCACCCCATTTTATGTATTATGTAACCTAAATATTGGGGCAAAAGTAGGCTTCCATTTGTTTGTCTAGAAAATAATACAAGAATTATAAGTAATAATAATAATACCAGAATAAACTGTTCTTCACATACTCACAACTGTAAACCTACTTTTGCCTCTCCCTGTACTTAAATTTGCCTTTACACCTCTCCAAATTTGGATGGCAGTGTACATGCTTTACAGTGGGTGCTTAGGTATGAATTTCATACTTTTGTATGTAATCTTACCATTTTTATCAAGACTGCAATACTTAGAGTGGATGGTACATCCCTTGGCCCCTTACAAATGGGTACTTAGGTATGAACTTCATACAATACTCTTGCCTGTGATCTTACCATTTTTATAAAAACCGCTATATATCTATGCGAGTGTATTTGTTAATGGCTATAGGACAGTGATAGGAAACTATCTTACAGCCAGAAAGTGTTCAGTGGTTTAACCTGGACACAAAGGACATACTACCTCCCTCATTCGAACATGCCAGATCAAAGCATTAACATTGGTCTTGCTGGAAGTTTACTGAAGAATGTAGTATGTGGAAAATGCTGTACGTGAAACAAATTCTATAATTTTATGCCTATTTGTGTATAATAAGTACCTGTTTCCAAACTTCCTGTGTTGTAACAAATTAAAAGTTGGGCGATTTTTCATACTTTATATTTTGAGTGAGACTCTCCCAAACTATTTGAACTTCATACTTGACTCTCCCTTCCTGTTTAGGGCAACCTCCAGTTGCTGCAGAACTGCCTGGCAGTGTTAAATGGAGACACATAAGCCACACCCCACCGTCGGGGTCAAAAAGGGCTGCCTTCCTTCAGATTTTACGTTTGTTTTCTTCATGATGTTCGGCATTCACTGCTCACTGGAAACAAAAGAAACAGCTGACAACGTGCACCTACTCACCTCTTTTCTGAGAAACCATGGAGCGGTGCGGCCCACGGGCACTGCCAGCCCGGTCCGTGGTGGGCGCTGCCCTCCCGCCTCCCGCACCTACAGCTCCCGGGGCAGGGGTTGCTCCTCCTGCGCTCCTCCTCTTCAAAAGCCCAAAGTTCAGTCCTTTTCTACAGTAGCTTCTATAGCTCTGTTTATTTTATGAATAGTATTCCTTATGGCTGCCAACCTTACTTACCTTTAAGTCACTTCTGAAGTTTAACCCTTTCAAAATATATTCTTCAAACAAGATAAAGATTGCCACTACCTTTTTTGAATTTTGTTTTTAAGGAAACATGGAATACCACCTTAGTTCATTCATGTATCCTGGTAAAGCATCTTAATCAGACTTATTTTTAATTGATGAATATTTCTTAGAAGTTTTGGGACAGACTTTATGTAATCTTTCTAAGTATGATTTCTGAAGAAAAGCAAATGCATTAGTATGTTTGCCTTAAACTTGTAGACTAAACCAACTATTGTAAAATAAACGGTGATAACAGTGATGGTTTCTAACTCTGTGGTCATTGCATCACTCTGACATCAGGGGTAGCTCTACTGAATCTGCTCCTCCCTCATTCTTACAGAGCAGGTCTTAGTTTTCCTTCTTTCCTTCGGAGTGACAGAGTGAGCCAAGCTCACCCATCCCTTCACAAAACCATGGACTGCTGCTGTGCTTTGGCACTTCATAGATGATGGAATTGGGCAGAGGCCGGTTAGAGACAGCTGTTTCTAAAATCCAGGAGCTGAGAATATGGCCTGCTAAGGTTTCCTGGATTCTGTCCCTAGCTCGCCAATGAACCACAGGACATATGCCATTGAGCCCGTAGTTGGTAGTTATGCCAGTGTATAGATTAGTATGGAGAGAGAGAGAGAGAGAGAGAGAGAGAGAGAGAGAGAGAGAGAGAGGTCTGCTGTAGGGAACAACTCGTGCTGGTGGAAAAGAAATAGAAACACGTCGAATAAAGTTTAGGTACCATAAAGGCTACTAATTGTCAGTAGTTACATGACCAACATACTGGCCTTCCTAATGTGGGTGAACATTATGCCATGCCTATTTAAAATTAGGTAGAGTGGTTGGCTTTTCCCACCGTCTTTTTCTGAGTTTGCTCCCATTTGGAAACCATGGCATTTGGGTTGGTCACCGCTGGGATGGGCTCTGAAGGCCTGGCCTGCGCCCCAAGCCTAGTCCGGAGGATTCCGCCTTCCTCCACAGCCTCGCTGCTGTGCTGGTGAAGATTTCTCTCCTTCACTCTTGCTCACCGGTGCCATGTGAGCTGTTGATTGTTCTGTTGACTGGGAGATCTGTGTGCTTTGTCCTTCAGGTCACCTTCACTGGTGACAATACGCCCATGCAGTGCTCGCCAAGCGGGTGAACGTGGGATGGAGAGTCCCAGCTCAGGACTCGGTGGGGTTCCCTCACAGGGTGCCCTTGTGGCCTCAGGCAGGTTCACTTGACCTCTCTCTCTGCCTCAGTTTCTCTACTATACCAGACACATTGACCTACCTCACAGGGGTGTTGTGAGCATTAATACATGTTGGTACAGCGCTTTGGAAATGTGAAGATGCTCTGTAAATGCCAAGAAATGGCAAATACAGGGCAAAAAGCTATACATACCCAACAGTTCATCTGTTTGTACGACGGTGGCCTTTGCAGGGAGGCGTTAGAGTGGATGGTACATCCCTTGGCCTCTCACATTTGTAGAGCACTTGTTGGGGGTGGGTGTCGGCTGGAAGCAGCAGTGTGGGGGAGGGGGGAGGGATGCTTCATATAGAAATGATTTGACTACCACACTTTGCAAGGGTCTTCTCACAGACAAATCCTACAAATGAGATAAAGAATATGTTACTCGCTGAGGGCATACAAAGGAAAGATTCTACTTTGCATCTCCAGAACAAACATTTGTTATTCCTCAGCTCAATGCTTGTTTGTCCCTGATAAAAATAGCAGCCCTGGATTGTTGCTATTGAGTTGTGTGCCGTTGATAAAGCATCTGTTGACCATCCCTGCCTGTGGGACACAACAACAGTGAAACAAAAGGAAAGACACCTCCTGCCCGTGGGCGTGGCTCAGTGATTGGGCATCGACCTATGAACCAGGAGGTCATGGTTCTACTCCTGGTCAGGGCACAGCCCGGGG